CCAAATTTTGCTCGTGTTGCCCAGGCTGGAGTGCCATGGTGCGATCTCGGCTCACTGCAATCTCCACCTCCCAGGTTTAAGTGATTCTCTTGCCTCAGCCTTCCGAGTAGCTGGATTTACAGGCATGCACCACCACACCCAGCTAATTTTTGTATTTTTAGGAGCGACAGGGTTTCTTTCTTTTTTTTTTTTAATTCAATCTCCATAGATCGTGTTTCTCCATGTTAGTTAGGCTGGTCTCAAACTCCCAACCTCAGGTGATCCACCCGCCTCGGCCTCTGTAAGTGATTACAGGTGTGAGCCACGACACCCAACCACCACAATGACTTTCAAATGGATAACAACAAAGGGAAAAAACATAAAGATTCATTTGTCTGCTTAAAAATTAAGACTTTTATATTTGAAAGCCACAATAAAGAAATGGGAAAATGTTTAGAGAGATGACAAAGAATGACTATATCCAAGTACAGATATGAGTTTCTGACCTTTTTCTTTGTATGCATTTATTTTTTCCCATGGAAAAATATTGCTTGTGAAATAAGAAAGAATCATATTAAAAAAGAAATAGGTCATTGAAAAACATATGTAAGAGATGTTTATCCTTTTCATCATAAATAAAAAGCAAGCACAAAACAATTTTTTTCTTTCAGCTCCTTGTGGTGAGAACCTATATGATGAGGAGGGCAAGCGGCTTCCTCCCTGTATCCCTGGTGCCTGGCTCACACCAGCACTCATGGCGTGTTACCTACTGGTGGCCAACATCTTGCTGGTGAACCTGCTGATTGCTGTGTTCAAGTACGTGTCACAGCCAATGACCACATGTTTATTATTTATTACTGTACAGATTTTCTATTTAATCTCAGAAATCTCCCAGGCTACTAATTCATTTGCAGAGAATTTCATTAGGGTTTTTAAGTAGATCCAATTTTTGCAGTCTCTTTGTTCAAACTTAATCAGTCTTAATGTATTCATAAATTAAGAGCTGACACTTAAATACATTTAAATGTAATCAGTTAGTATTTAAACACTTTATCATGTATCTTAATCTAATGAAAATATTTTCTTAGATGAAAGTTTCCTGGGGTACAGAAGATTTGATCAAGTCATGCTTTTCATTCATCAGTAGAGGTGCAAAAGGCAGTATTAGTTTCATAAGCTGTTACAATTACTGTAATACTATGTAAAGCATTTTGTTCTGATCATTTATAGAAGATAAAATGGCCTTAAAAAGTGGCTTAAAGTATTAAATCAAGTTTCTTATAAAACCTCTCTGGCATATTGTGTTAAGTATGTTGACCATGCTCAATAAATGTTGAAAAAAATGATTTTAGCTTCTAAGATGAAAAATATAGAGTGAAAAAGCCTTCACAGAAATATGCAATCTTAGAATTGAACAGGGCATTGGAGAAAACCTGCTCCAAACTTCTGGCTTAAGAGATGAGAAAACTAAGGTCATGGAAGGTAACTGGCTTTCCTAAGGTCTGTGTTGCAGGCAATGAAATCAACCACTTACTGCTTCCTGATGGAAGGTAAAGACAAAGATTGTACCTACCCCACGTCCAAAATAATGAAACTTTAATCAAATAAGTTCAATAACTAATCAATTCAGTTGAAAAAAAAAGTAGTCATCTACTTTTCCATTGTTAGACTAATGGAAAGTTTAAACATGATAAAATCCTTAGTTAAATGGCTTATACCTCTATGTATAGGAAATTAAGTTTCCTGAGTACATGAGTAGATTATGGTGTGGTTTTTCAAGAAAGTAGTACATAGCAATTGATTACACTTAGCTACTTATGAGTACAGTGCCCTTAAGCATAGATAATCCGCATTGATGGATAAACCAAAAGATTGGACAATCAAGGAATCAGTACTAAAGGGCACTAAAAGGCCATTTCATTTTTTCTTTTAAATGTGAGTAACTCTGACTGTTCTGGGCAATCACTATAAAAGGTAATATAACTAACCGTAAAAATGTCTTTTTTTTTTTTTAAAAGCAATACCTTCTTCGAAGTAAAATCCATATCCAACCAGGTGTGGAAGTTCCAGCGATATCAGCTTATTATGACGTTTCACGACAGGCCCGTCCTACCCCCACCGATGATCATTTTAAGCCACATCTATATCATCGTTATGCGTCTCAGTGCCCACTGCAGGAAAAAGAGAGAAGGGGACCAAGAGGAACAGGATCGTGGATTGAGTATGTGCAGGGCTCTTCGTTTCTAGGTTGGGCTGATTTCAAAATAGTGTTCCAATGGAACATCCTCACAGAAATCTCATTCAACTGATTGCACGTGTGAAAAGCACCACACTCAGTCCAACTGCTGCTCTTTGCAAAAGGCTTCTCATTTTGTATCCATTTTATTCTAGTTTTGTTAATTTGTTAGTAATTAACATCATGGAAAGCAAGCTCATGGAGATCAGTTGAGCTGATTCTGTAAAATAACTCTATAAGTTTCTATATAAATTCAATGCCCCTTTCAAAATGTCTTAATTTGTTGCATCTAAAGGAAATGAGAAAATATGCTCTATGCTTGACTCTATTCACAAAAATAGCTACAAAAAGTTTTCTGGAAATATTACTTGGACTTACTTTCCCAGTAGATGTAGTTTTGTTTTTTATGTTTAAAAGCAGGCCATTTGGCTCCAACTGATAGAGGCATATGACAACCACCCCACAAACAGACTTTTTTTTTTTTTTTTTTTTTTTTTGAGATGGAATCTAGCTCTGTTGCCCAGGCTGGAGTGCAGTGGCACGATCTTGGCTCACTGCAACCTCCGCCTTCCAGATTCCAGTGATTCTCCTGCCTCAGCCTCTCGAGTAGCTGGGACTACAGGCACCTGCCACCATGCCCAGCTAATTTTTGTATTTTTTAGTAGAGACAGGGTTTCACTGTGTTGGCCAGGCTGGTCTCGAACTCCTGACCTCATGATCTGCCCGCCTCAGCCTCCCAAAGTGCTGGGACTACAAGCGTGAGCCACTGCACCCGGCCAACCCCTTTTTGGATTCAAACCAGTTTCTGCCTTAGGAGTGGCGTTGAAGAAAGCTTAATTAACTAACGTGGGGCTGTGAAATTCACACTGAGGCCACAAAACATCCTTGTTGTTTTTCGTGTGGCCGACACCTCTCCCTTCACACAGAGCTGTTCCTCAGCGATGAGGAGCTGAAGAGGCTGCACGAGTTCGAGGAGCAGTGCGTGCAGGAGCACTTCCGGGAGAAGGAGGACGAGCAGCAGTCGTCCAGCGACGAGCGCATCCGCGTCACTTGTGAGAGGTACGCGCAGCGTCCCCACCGCGGGCCAAGGGTTTGCTGAGTCGGGCGCCCCACTCTGTGGGGGATGCCCGTGTTCATTTAAACATTCACTGAGTTCTCATGTTTTATTTAAACTTTAGGTTTTATTTCCTCGAAACAGTGAGGAAGTTCCTAGGTGATGATTGTGCATTGGATATAGAAGGGAATGACATTTATTGCAAATATTCTGGGCCAAAAGAAAACCTAACAATTCTTGCCTACCTTCACCCTCTACCCCAAAGTGGGGGCGTTTCCACAAGGTTAATGGACGCTACAGAAAGCCATCTTTCTCCCTGCTCTTGCTACTAACTTCCCTTTGCCAGCGTGGGCCTCCCCTGGGGACTGCCCTCTCATCCTGCTTAACTGTTTGCTGCACCTTCAAAACACCTTTCCCAGCCTCACGGGGCAGAGGAAAGGCTCCTCCTGGGGCTCGCCTGTGAGTGGGAACTGGAGGAGGGGTGCAGGGTGGGGCTGAGTTGTCTGCTCCCATGAGGGTGGGAGCTGCTAAACTAGGGCAGGGTCTGTCTTTCAGACACCGGCATCCTCAGTACCCAGCAAGGTCAGCCTAATCTCCGTGGTAATGCTGAACAAATGCAGAGTGAATGAATGCAGGATGTGTGAATCAATGAATAAGTAAATGAAATCAGGCTGGGAGGGACAGAAGTGGTGACATTTTCCAAACTTTGTAGTATTCCTCTGCCCTAAGCTGGCAAAGGGGAGAGAGGAGCAATCGACCTTTACTCTCTGTGCTTTTTATCATGTAAGTTTTGAGAGCCCTTGTCACTTTCTATAAGCAATTTCAGCTTGCTAAAGATCTTGGGACTGATAACACGCTGTTCCAAAGGGTTTCACTAACAGTGTGGCCAGAAGGATGAGCTCAGAGGAGCCATGCCTAACGCGATGCTAGCTCTGCATTCTATCCTTGAGTACACAGAATTCAAGTTTCCGAATACAGACACATTGAGAGCCACAGTAACAGGGTGGGACTTCAGAAAGATACTGCAGCTGGCAGTTCCCAGTCACGGGAATTCACAGGAATGTACCTTTGGTCTCCCTGGCGCACGTTCAGGCCAGTGAACTCTCCTCAGCCCACAGTTGGGGAGATGGCAACTATGGGTCCCTGGACCCGGTTCCCTTCTAGACCCAGTTACCTTGTGATCCAACCAGCCAAACTCCAGGGTTACCTGCACCACCTTCTGCCTTACTAAGGTAAATCTTTCATAAAACTTTGAATTATATTTTATATTGTTTTATATTTTAAGAGTTATTGCTTGTTTTATATTTTAAGAGTAATTGCTAAACTTTCAAAATATAAAAATTATTTCTTCATGAGAAAGATAAGGTACCCCATGCAGATCATCTAAAATTTCCACTTTTTAGTTAGACATTAACTTGAATGTAATATTAGCCAGTCATTTACAGTGGAGATTGTGTTCTGTTTTGCTCTGCTTCTCCTCCTCTCCCTTCCCTGGCATTCCGTGGATTTTTACCATTCTTGGACCAAAGCTCCAAGAATGTGGTTATCAGGTCACTACCAAACAGCATTTTCTCTGGGGGCTCTGTGCACACGTAATAGGGATGAAAGTGTGTAGGGTAGAAAAACATGCTGCTTCCTGTTTCCCTCGGCTGAGATCCCAGGAGTGATGGGAGCACATTCCTGCCCCTCCATTTCCCTTGGCCTTGTCTAGGCTGACTCACAGGTGAATGCCCGAGACAAAGAGGAGGCTTGAGGAAAAGGGAGTTTTCCTTCCCTCTTAGCGAGGCCAGCTAAAAGTACTTATTCGTACCTAGCTTTGGGTGCCTGTGACTACTTTAAAAATCATACTTGAAGTACTTAGGCATTTCTGCCAGTTCTTTAATATTCTTTCCATATAAGATTAGTTTTGAGGCTGGGCGCAGTGGCTCACGCCTTTAATAGCACTTTGGGAGGCCAGGCGGGTGGATCACCTGAGGCCAGGAGATCCAGACCAGCCTGGCCAACGTGGTAAAACCTCTTCTCTACTAAAAATACAAAAATCAGCCATGTGTGCTGGCATGCGCCTGAAATCCCAGCTACTTGGGAGGCTGAGACGGGAGAATCACTTGAAGAGGCGGAGGTTGTAGTTAACGAGATCGAATGACTGCACTCCAGCCTGGGTGACAGAGCGAGACTCCGTCAAAAAAAAAAAAAAAAAAAAAAAAAAAAAAATATATATATATATATATATATATATATATATATATATAAGTTTTATTTTCTGCATCACCGTTTCCCATTTAATGGTCTCCCTGCTCTTCTCTTGGTGATGTCTTCACCACCACCATTCAGTTTGTAGGGTCTGTTGCATGTCAGCCTCTGCCTTGTCTCCCTGTTGTCTCAGTGACTTTCAGAGCTGAGCCACCGATTCTCATGACTCAGTTTTACAAGCATGTTCACACAGGGTGGGCACCCATTAATCATGCTCCTCCACGCAGGGTGCTTTCAGTGCTTCTGTGCAGAATCCAAATTCATGGTTCTCTCCTAATGCTTGGAAAGTTACATGTAAAATGCTAACAATTTAACTGTTTATTTTTATTATAAAGTTCCAACATTTTGTCCGATCCAACATTCAGTCCTGCAATGAGATTTGCAATACGATTCAGCATTGATTGACACAACACTGGGTTGCAGCAGGATATTGAACCCCAAGTCCTACCAAGCATGCCCACTTAGATGTCTTAGGGGCCCGCTGTCAGGGTCCTCCTCCCGAACTTGGACATCTCCAGTGCTCCAGTCTCTGTGAATGCCACCACCATTAAGCTCAGTCAGCAAACTGGCAAATCATTGTGGCACTTCCCTCTTCGTCATTAACAATCATCAAGTTCTGTTTACTTCGCCTCGTAATAAATCCTGGTCCATTTATTTTTTTATCCCTACCCCCGACGCACCAAGTACAAGCTTCCATCATTTTTCACTTCCATTCCTGTAGCTGCCTCTACTTGAGCTCTCCATATTCATTTCTGCTTCCATGATTTTTCACTTCCACATATGTGGGGTACCTTATACCTTCCTCCTTCCCTGCTTCTCTTCTTCAGATCTCTGCCTAAATGTCAATTCCTTATGGAAAACTTCCCTGACCACCTCACACCTTAGACTAGATCAGAACCCTCAGGCCTTAAGCTGCATGAAGGCAGGGCCACATCTGGTTTTTGTCCACCATGATATTCCCAGAGCCTGCATATCTCCACACAGTAGGAGTGAGACTTTTTTTTTTTTTTTTTTTT